AAMMAAAAAAATCTGATTCAAAATTTGCCAGCTGAGGACGAAAAATCTTCGAATCTCGAGATATGACTGATGCGGTGCGAATTTCCATCYTCGGGACATATTTTCATTTCCTTTTTTTGGTTTTTCGAAAMATAATCTCGACTCAATCAATTCGTACCATATCGCAAAGGTAAGCAAAAGGAAGACGRAAGGAAGATTGTGCATATGCATTATGTTCGAAACTTATACTCGATACTCTCTCTCATGATCTTCACAGATGACAATGAAAGTWGTTAACAACGAAACTGCCRCTTTGACCGCAAACGAGCACGATGTGCAGGTCAACAAGGGCAAAACTCTCGAGCAGAGATTTCCACCTCTCGATGGTGAAAAGTTGAAATGGTTTCCGAAGTCATCTTTGCCTGATGAGATYCCTGCCATTGATATCAGCAAAGTCAACACGAAAGAAGAGCTGGAACAATTTTTGGTAGACATCCGCAAGTCAGGACTTTTCTACATCGTCAACCACGGTGTTCCCGAAGACGTCTCAATTAACGTTTACAACGCCTTCAGAGAATTTCTCTCGTCCACCACCGAAGAAGAGAGAATGAAGTATTACACGGACACTCATTTCCAAAATGGTGGATACGTCCCCTTCCAAGGCTCTTCCATTCGCGGAGGAAATTTAGGCAAGCCGCAGAAGGACCACGTCGTGAAATACTTTTGGAGAGGGCCTCAAGTTGTTAATAGGACCCCMAGCGAGAAATTCACCAAGGCACACGATGYCCATCATACTGAGACCTTCAACGTAGCGGAGAAGGTGATTAGAACCATTTTCAAGGCCTTAAAGCTTCGCTTCCCTGACTTCGATCCTATGGAATTCGAAGACACTATTAATTCAAAGAAGATGTTCTTCACCAATCGTGTTTACCCTCAGGCTGAAAAGAGTGACGAAGAAACTATYACTCATCGTCTCGTTCCCCACTTAGATACCAGCTTCATCACGTTAGCGAATCAAGTTCCTGCCGACAATGGCTTCCAAGGTCTGTTCGTTGAGACTGGAGATGGGAAAAAGGTGAAGGTCCCTGGCATCCGTAACAGCTATTTGGTCTTCATCGGTCAAAGTCTGTCTTTCCTTACGAAGAACTACCTTCCATCGGCTCTCCATGGTGTCGACAAGCCTCCCAAGGAAATGTTCGAAGGAAGCGAAAGATCCTCGTTGATCACTTTTTATGAACCTGCCGAAATCATTATTCCATCCAAGAACATCAATCCCAACCCAGATGAGACCACTGATTCGTGTCCGTTTTATGATTCTATTGGATTGGATGTAAATGATCCCAAGGGCACTACCTGGGATTTTGTGAAGAACAAATTCATTACCGGATATTACGCGGATTAAGTGTACCTCATTAGCCGTCGAGTCAGATAATAGGATATTACGCGGATTAAGTGTACCTCATTAGCCGTCGAGTCAGATAATATCAAAAATTACGTAACGTTATCGTTTTAATGGACAACTTTCTTGATTATTTTCRACAGTCGACACGACGTAACAATATCGTTTAGATTAAWAGCTTTAATCAATATTTTCAACGACCTATACGGCGATAAATGAATCATTTCGTCAATGTTTCACATGTGTGSTAGGTCTGTGGATAGAAGGTTCACCTCATGCTAATTTTTCGGAGAGGGGAAGCGATCGAATATTTTTTGCTCAGTGGCTTTATGGATAAAATAGTTCGTTATGTTGAAAAAATATTATAATCGYATCAGCATTAGGTTGTAACWGTTACCCAGRCACTCAAACTGATAGGTGCAACCCATWTCTAGTACACGAGAATATTATAGCCGGTTTGGCTGCTGAAGAGCGTGACCTGATCCCCACTCCATCGTAGGGGCTTTTTCACATAAATTCTGTTAATTCCTTCKGGTAGAGACGATGCAAAGTCATGCCAATGCGAGTCTTCGCTGCCGCGTGCAATTCGCATGTGGAGCGTCCAATATGCAGAGATTTCTGCGGGTCGGTCATTGAGTCTGTATCCTACGGGGTAATCATAGAATTTTGGGAGRGTTTGTTGCAAGACTTCGGCGAAACCATCTTCCGCTAGAGCACCAGGATGCTGTGCATCATAAAGAACGTTACTTTGGTCGACACGGGACTGTGGATGGACCTGATTCTCGTACATAAAATTAATCAAGTGAGGGCAAAAGTGAAACACTTCGAAATGAAAACTCGGCCACCCATCATTTCTCGTTTGGTTACCCCAACCTTCACTGGTAAAGTCTTGCCGGGCATCCACACTTGGACGGGTTGGATTGATTCCAATATCGATAGCAGGCGAGTCAGATGAGGTGAAGGAACCAACTAAATCCGAAGTGGTAACGGAAATGGAGTTGCCACTATTGAGATACATTGCCGCAGCCATGAATGCGGCGCCAGCGAAGAAAGCCAGAAAATTCTTCAGATAGCTGCTCCCTGAGTGCCCAGAATGATCCTTTGCAGRATAGGATTTTCCTTCTTCAATACCTGGAACAAAGCAAACCAACATAATAAKTGTGTTAGTGGGAAGGTGGTCGGTGYATTCGTCATTGGATCGATAGCGGGTCAGCCAGACAATGTGATTACTTCTGTCGAAAGTGACAGCAGACTCGCTGATTTTTAAATCCAAAAATACTCACCATTATCTTCACTAGAAAGAGACCCATACCCGTCTATACCAATCGCCTTATCGTGAACTGTATTTTTATTTTGGTTTGCCATTTTCATATTCGTACGAGGGTAATGTATTTTTTCATCGAAATACAGTAGAATTTGGTCGAAAAATTATTTCTTATCCCGAAAATTCTGATGAGATTCCTTGAAAGTCCAAAACTCTATCCCTTGAGGGATCCCAGAAAAATAGTTTAGAAGATACGTCAGTCACTAAGGTTGAACGTACCACTCGATCACGAACAAAGAAACGCAGCGATTCTTCTTTCATTTTTGTTCGCTTACAATTCAGACCCTTAATAAATAATCGTGGATCTTGTTGGAAAGTTGGATATTTATCAAAAATGGAGAACATCTGTTTGATATTTTCTAATGATACTTTCCAAGTTTTGGGTTTGCATAAACAATCCAGATTGTTGAATATAGGTTTGCATAAACAATCCAGATTGACAAGGAGTAGTACCAATCAGATACTACTTCATTCGAATTCTTGACTATTATTCGGCATGCGTCAGTTCATTTTCCATCGCGCTGCAATCTTTCTTAGGATTTAAGGGTTCCTGCCTTCCGGAGGTACAATCTTTTTTCATCCCGTACCGTAAGGATTTTCTGTTTGAGATCTTCCTTTCTCGAATCTCGGGAAGGTTTCTTCGCCCTTTTCGAATGCAAAAGGAAAAACCCAAAAATTATTTCATTCTGCYYATTCTCACAAAATTAATTTCACTTTTCTRAAATTTGAGAACCAACATGAAATTTGCAACGTCCATTGTCGCCGCCCTCGCCACTACAGGTGCCGCATTCACCGCGATTCCAAACAAGAAGGTGAGTACAGTTATGTATATTTGTTCATAGAGGTATGATTGCGTATTAGRTGTGAACCACTCGAAATTGCTTTCGACGAATCGAATGACMAATGACCGCATCGACGGGGAATGTTTTCTAACTTATTCGTTCTTCAACTTTAGGTTTCTACCGCAGGATTTGGCKTGAAGCACCAGAATCCGCTCTATGCATCGAGTACCTCAGACTCCATCAGCAGCCTTACGGCGGAGAGCCCATCTGAAGTCCTTTCTCGAGTCAAAAATACTGGGCTCACGTTGACCAACCCCAACGACTTGTACTGGATGGTCGACTTCTGCAAGGAAAAATACTACAACAAAGGCGACTACTACTACCCCATCAAGACCGTGTGTGATGGTGAGAGTATCGACGTSAAGTTTTATTGCCCATTCGAGCCCARCCTCAGCCCTCATTATCTCGAGCTCTACGGCTCCCGCGATCAGCGTGCYTCGATGTATGAGACAACCATGGAAAAATAYAACCGCATCAACTGCGAAAAAACCTCTGCAATTTGCACMCCTTACTCCAGTTATGGCGACACCCAGATTGTCGCATACTTTTACTCTATGATGTATTACATCAATGATCAAACCGCCCATCTCAAACTACCCGAGAATCAGATTGAAGCGGAKCTCGTCGACATTTTGAACGACGACATTTTGATTTACTTGAACGAGTTTCTTTCTATCTTCGAACCYAAGAATGACGAAGACTTGGAACGTATTTGGGACTTCTTGGATTTCTATCAGCCATATTACAACAAGGTTGACGGCAAGATTGTCTTGGACGAGAAATACCAARTCAGAACCCCATCTCAGATGCCCCTAATCAAGACAATCTGYGAGTACATCTCGGAAAAYTTTGCMARCGAAAAGAATATCACCCAAGTGATTTGGGAGGTTATCCGGTACATCAAGGGAGTRAAGGACGAAATTCACATCAGAGGCGACAAGAGTTTCACTCTGTCCCTTCAAGAGTACGAYGACTTCCGTGACAAGGTTACTGCRAGTCCAATGGCGCAYGCTGTGTCCGATTTGACGCACGAGCGCTTTACCTACAAGGCATACACCAACCCACTTTTYATGGAGTTGGAGRACAGGTGTTCCGAGATCATCACATACTTCAACGATGTGTGCACAAGCGAYAGAGAGCGATTGGATGAAGATCCCTTCAACTCGGTCTTCATTCTCATGGATCTTGACCCCAGTTTGAATTTCGCAAAATCCTGCGATCTCGTGGTTCARCATGCCYAYGACAAGATGCAGGCATTCTTGAAGCTCAAGGATGAAATTCTCGAATCGGCCTCGGACGAAGAAGAACGTTTGGCACTTGCTCAGATGATCAAGACYAGAGAAGATTCCTTGATTGGATATGTGTTGCATGAAGTCTGCTGTGTCGAAGAGGGSTATGCTCGTGATCACAAGCCTTTGATGAAAGCGTTTTTGGAGGAGGAATTGGCCAAGTCGCTCTCCGAAAAGGTATAAAGCGTAAATTTTTCGCATCGACTACCGTACAACCAGCGCAGAACCCGAGTGTACATCGCGACCAAACGGAGAACCAAAAACGAACAAAAAATGAAGATTGTTTAGTTTCTACTTCAATTTCGTGGATGTCGAATAAAACCATATCCTTTTAGACCTTCGGACGAATTTTAAAACACATAAATCAGAATAATTTAACCGAAACCGTTTCTAATTTAGGGAACGATTCGTGCACTTGTCTTGGCAAGAAGGATAGCCATATTTGAGAACATCAGCACAAATTTATGACCCTTTCCAATAGAAACATATAGATGTAACGCGAACTTATTGTCGAAGATGTAAATTTCATTTTTTGTTTTATTGCACACAGCAATAACACTACTTCTGCTTGCACACGTGAGAAAAAACCCCAGAGAAATGAGAACCCATCATGCGTGAAAACGAAGGATATTTGCGAGTCAAGAAAAGTTGGATTGGGTGGATATGATGCCGCTATTATGATTTATGCCATCCTTGATTCGGAGTCATCACGACAGTTCGGCATCTCAGTTCGGCCGACGACGAACGTTGCGACTACCATCAACTCAATGTAAAGATTCGAAAGTGGTCAGCTCAAAGAAACACTGGAATGGCACAAGTCATAGTTATCGTTGCGTTGCTGTTGTTTTCATTGCTTCGCTGGCAAGGAAAACTCGGAAATTCGATAAAATCTCRTATCTCCGAATGAATCGACGATGGCCATATCTGTCAAGTCAAACTGGACGCTACTTCTGCCGAGCGAACTCTGATTGATTGGGCTGGCTGGTACTTCTGTGCCACAAAATTGGACTTCGATCAATATTTTTTTACGGGTCAAGAGCAACGAGATGTGTCGGCGAAATATCGACAGCTAACTCTGTGATGCGTGTACCTGCTCTGTGTCAACAGAAAAATATAGACTTTGAGATATGCTTGGAATTATTGGGTGAGCCTAAGATTTTTCMTAGTGGAAGAAGAAAATGGAAACAGCGGCTTGAATTCTCAATTACGGCACAGCAACATGGGCCATGGTGTCAAACATTKCGGAGACTGCGAAAATCGATGCTAATATTTGGGCATTTTTACTGTCCAAAACAATCATGGAAGAAGCGAACGAAAAGCAACGGCGAAAAAGCATTCAAATTCCTTTTGGAGTTTTTAGACAWATCGATCGCCGCATTTTCTTTTTTATGAACAAGGATTTCTTGGCCGTTGCTAGCGAGTTGTTGTTCAGCGGAAGCTTTGAAAGCTGACGAAGGTGAACTCGATGGAGCTCAATCAGAACTTCTTCATTCACATTACGGATCAATAGCCAGTCACTTTCAAGTTACGGGAAGCAGTAAGAGCCAAAGAAAGCTATGAGGTTGGGATATTTTGGATGTCGAGACAGCTTTTTATGGAACGGCTAGCATAGATATAGAGAGCAAGGAATAATAGACATAACGACCAATCTACATGACCTTATTATATCATACTACTTTAACGATCATAACCTTTGAGTCAGATTTTAATGACTATCATGGGTTTCGCGAAGTACTTTTCCRCGCATCACTAGCACAATATTCCAAAATTTGTTTCTCGCGTCAACCCGATTTTCCAAAGTTACTGATCATGTGCAATCTCGCAGCCCGATAGGGTCTTTTCTTTGAGTTCCAAGAGGCATATTTAGTGTAAACCACGAYAACACGCGATCGGAAAAAGTCAAMCAGCTGCCTGCTGCCTTACATAATATCGAGTCCCCAACGGTTGATCAWTTTGTGATCAATTCGACGCAACAAAAAAATGTCCCTTCTGCTGTTGGTGCTCTGTCAGGCTTGTCACTAKGGCGCGGCCGCCGTTGATGCGTAAGCACCATGCGCCATTGTCGCTTTTGTCTTTCTTTGTTCTAGTTTCGTTTGGGGGCAAAATGTTCGAAGTAGGACGAGAGCCATAGTGTGCCCTTCCCGGCGAGAGATCCAGCAAATCCGCTCGTATCAAAGACAATGATTTTAGGAACAACCTTTCGATTGACCTCGAAGACCCCGGCGGCGTAAATCTTGACGTCGCTCCCGGCCTGTTCCAGGCCAACGTAGACATGGAGAGATTCGAAGGGTTTTTTGGCAGTTGTCGTCGGGATTTGTGTGCCGCCATTTTTCTCCTTGGCGTTCGGTTTCAAGAGACGCACYAGTGCTGAATAGTTGTCTTTTCCGATCTTGTCGATTTCGACAATTTGCTGGTATCTCATGGTCCCGGTGTGACCGAACAAGACACGTTGTGATTTTAGAAGCAGATCCTGGCGATAAAAATGCCAATCACGCTTTTCATCACCGTTGCTCCTTTTGTCTTTATCGTCGCTCCCATTGTTTTCGCTGGCTGCGCTGTAATTCACGTTAGTGTCGCTGCTCGTATTGGATTGCRTTTTCTCCAGCACGTAGCTCGTTGTTTTCTTGCCGTCAGAATCCGCGTCGATATTGCTTGTTCTATCAAAGGACGACATCACTCTTGTCCGAAAGTTGCGACGTTTTGGCTTTGTGCCGCGCGGAAGAYGGGCATCGAACTCRCCGGAGCCGCGGTCGGGGCCACACCGGTCGCTTGGTTGCTTTCTGCATTTTGTAAAAGAGGTCTCCAACAAGTCGCCGTCGCTCCATTTTACCTGTAGGTCCCCCGATAGGTAGGCACGCAAGACGTCCTCGGTGCTGCAATCCACGGCCACCTGCTCGCTCTCAGCGAGGACGTAGTCCCCTCCGAGCTTGGTAGTTGATACCTTTCCCTTTCGTCCATCCTTTCCCTCGAACCAGTGGAAGGACGACCTCGAGCGAACGGCATCGAAGGCTCTTCGAATGCGGGCTGGCGATTGAAACCTCGTAAAGAAAAAAKATTCGCCGTGTCCGTATCGGAGCTGCGGCTGCTCTCTATTGTCGTCACTGTAGTCGCTTTGGTATCCCGAAATCCCGATCGATTTCTCCCCTTCGTTTCTGTCGTCATTGTTTCCGTTTCCGTTTGGAATCCCCCTGAAAAGATTTGTATCGCCTGCAACCGCTGTCATTGTTTGTCCGACGGTTGCAAAAAATCCTGGCCGATCGTTCTCTGACCTTTTCTGCGCTTTCGTGGTCACAACGGMAGATGCGTGACAAAAGAAGATTTTCTTGCCATCCCACTCGTTGTTGATGTTGGACAGGAAATAGGGTTGGCGAGGACGRTGGCACGACGAGAGAAAAAAAATAGCCACGCATAGAAGGTGTTGTCGCACCTGTCTAAACGATCCTGACTTCCGCCTTCGGCGACAATCGGTATTCGGATGCATCTTCCTATGCTGCRTAGATAGTACATTCAACATGGAACAACTCTTCGGTTCTCTTTCAATGTAACAGGCAAACCAGAACTCCAGGAGAGCTACCGTATCATAATATTGGTGTCACGTACGCATTATGGAGAGTACTTGGGTACAGTACTTGGTACTTTACTGGTAGATACAAAAAACCAAGTTGAAGGATACCGTCAAATTCAAAAATTGGCTTTTGTTGTGAAGTGTTGATAGGCTCCTTAGTGTACCGTACGTACGGTATGACAATACGTGGTTTACAATAAAGAGTGAGCTTATTCACTATCTACTCGTGATTTAGGG